GCTAATATCAATGATGCCAATGCACAGACAATGCCAGTGCATGAAATGGAGCTTTGCTGGCTCCTGGTGTACTAAATTCATAGAAGGAAGGGATCTAAGATGTCTGTTTGGTGCCAGACAGGAGAAATACTGATGGAAAAAGCTTCAGAACTCAAATACTTCTAAGAAAATGTTTAAAACAATGCTGAAGCTGGTAAAGTCAGTGAAGCTTGTATGTGATGGTGGCTCTGGGAATGTGAACTACACACAGCTGTTTTACTGGTAGTGGCAATTTGAAGCACGTGGGATACTGGTATTATTTATACATGTATTAGGGCATGAATTTTCATAGGATGGGGTTGTACCTTTTCACAGAAAGACTGGGGATTTGGAAAGGGCTATGATGACCCTCAAAACTGTGTGAGACAAGTTCTCAGCTGTTGTAAGTCACCACAGACTAGGCTCAAGGATAAGGACATGAGCCTTCTGTTGTGGCTCTGGGCTGGGAGCTGCACTGACAAAACTTTCCTTGCCAGATGCTATTCCTGGAATCCTTCTCTCTGCCCCAAAAGAGGCTCCCCACCAAAACAGGGCCTCTGTCCAACAGCGATTGCACCCTGGCTCTGTTATGGCTTGGCATTAGGTTCACTGATCATTGCTGAAGATTGTGCATGACATAAGTCCCCCAAGACTTTCCACCTTTTCCACCAGATCAAGCTTGATCCCCGGCTGGTGGTGGTGATGTCTCTCCTGCCCCAGCTCTCCCCCCCACACCCACAAAAAAAAAAGGATAGCCCCTAGGTGGATAAGACAGTCTGTGCACTGATACTCAGGGAATTATTCTCTTATGTTTAATTTGGTTTTCACTCAGCTAAGAGCCTACTAGGACTAAAGGGAATTTTGCCTTGGCAGGGTTTGACTAGACAAAATTTGGTTCACTGATGAGATACAGAAATGAGTGCCTCGGTTTCCCCAGCCTTTCAGTGCACCAACCTTAGGTTTCCGTCAGGCTTCTGCTCCACCCTCAGCTACCTATAATTTCTTTTCCCAGAAGCAGTAACTACAGTAGATGGATGAAGCATGGTGCTTACTACCATGTTCCATCAGAGTCCCCTGTGCTAGCCAGACTGACTTTTTGTCAAGCATGGTTCTGTTGTAGCAAGCAAGAGCCAAAGCAACTCTTGCTAACATGGTTTGCTGCTCCAGCATGGCTTTGTAATAATCTGAACATTCGCTGAAACCATGCCACACAGTCTTCAGCCGGGCATTACAGGCCCCAGCCATGCTTAATCATAAGTGTGGCTTTAAACATTATTATGATGCAAAGGATGAGGAGGGCTACAGCAAAATTACTGCATCGCCACAGGCAACACAGGACACATGTATGGTAAGAGAGACTGCTCTTGGCTCCAAAAAAACAACATCTCCCTGACCCATACAAACTGATGGCAAGTCAAGGAAAATAAAAAGCATTGCACACAAAACCACAGCTCTACCGGAATAGCTGCTGAGAAGCAATAAGCATGGCTAAGGGTATTGTATGAAGAAAGCCTAAAGCAATGTCACTTACCCTTGGACTGCTGAGGGGGCTGGTGGAGAGGCCAGATGAAGCTCCGCTGATCGACCGAGACCTGAGTGGACACAACAAGTAGAGATGGCCCTCAGAACCTCTGGGCGAGCAACATCCCCTGAACACCAGCCGCCCCATGCACAGGCATGAGGTGAGGAGCAGGAGGAACGCTGCCACTCAGAAAAGCACATAGCTCTCCTCATTCTCTCATTACTGTGATGCATCTGACATATATTCCGATTCCCTGGCCCCCACATCAAGTCTTAGGGAAAGGACCTTATTAACTCCCAGGTACTCTCTCTCTGAGTAGAGCTGGGCACTATCACCTGCTTTTGAGTCTGGGTATTCACACATGGACAGCTACTGCTTCCTGCTGTTGGAAACTAACACAGCTCAAGGCAAAAGGCCTTATCAGAAGCTTGGTGCGTGTGTTGAGAATTATTTTTGGCACAAGTTATCTATGTACAGAAAGAAAAATCCTTTGTATGCCATAGGTGAAGCCCTCCACAACATAGAAAACCATCCATGGGTTATTTGCAGGAGCAGGATATTGTTCCAGGTACTAAGAAAAGACTGACTCTACCATAAGCATGGTATGCTATCTTCTCACATCAGAGGACTATCCCAGTGAACCCAAAACTCAGATCTGTTGTGCGTGTTTGTTTAAAGCTAAGCCACCATTTCCAGCTCCTTGCCGGCACGATTTGCCATGTCATGGGCTCTCCAGATAGGTATCTATATGAAATCACTGTTCCCTTCTGCTCTCTAGGGAACTTCATGTAGGGGACCACAGGCTTTCATGCTTGTTGGATGGCCTCTCTGTATGAAACCATCTACTCTCCTGTTCACCAGAATGGCTCAAAGACCAATCTGCTAAGAGCTCAGCCCTGCTGTGCACACACCAGGATAGCCTCTCTTTCAGATCATGAGGTCTTCACCTCTAGGGGGTTACCCGGTGGGATTACTGCCTCTTCTGCCTGTTGATGAGTTCTACGAAGCAGCAATTTCACACCAACCTGTCACTGTAGGGGCCCATGGGGCCCTTCTAATCACTGACAATATTTCTTATGGGTTGGCCTGCTGCTCTGTCAATGAGCATGTTGTACTTTATGGGAGTGCTAGCATTCACATGGAATCACCTGCCCTTGTATTCTCAAACAAAGGTCCCTGCAACAATCTTTGGCAGCTAGCAATCTAAACACATCAATGCTGTGCTAAGGCAAGTAGTCCTAAACTGAAGGGACAGGCAGGCCAAATGGGGGATGTAATACTTGAGCAGGGACAAAATTATCTGCTAGAGCAGAAAGCACTTCCTGTCATCTTGCACAGATCCAGAAGTAGGACTTAAAAGCTTCAGAGGCCACTACTTTCAATCCTCCTCAACGAGAAGGGTCAATCTTGAAAAACAATTTTGGAAGAAGATTACACTGGAGAAACAACCCAGCCCAAAGCTACCATAGAAAATGTCAGTAGCCCAGTGTTGCAAGTGTCTCACCAATATATGAATACAGCACCTTCTTTTGGAAATAAAAAACAGTTATTCACCTTCAGCTAACATGAAAAAGAAATGATGAAAACTTCTAAGTGTTTGTAAAACAGAATATACATGCGTAAACATGCACACGCACAAACGTGTGTTTTAGGTGTATACATATAAGCATAAATAGATTTAAATAGGCATTCGTTACAAACATACATGAGTGTGTATGTGTGTGCGAGTGTGTATAGATATATCCATATATATATATATGGATTTGTAAGAATATGCAGCCCTTAAGAAAACCCAGAATACATTAAGCCAATGCCTCTTGTCTATCAGTCTTATTCAGAGCTCAGCAGCCTAGGCCTATGGGCTGGATCTGGCCCATGGAAGCACTGGATACAGCCTGCGAAGCTGGGACTTTGATGCTGCTGCTCCACAGCCAGGCAGTGGAGAGTAATGGCACCAGGGAGAAGTGCAATCCAGGTCCTAGCGCCTCAGAGCTGACCTGGGCCATTCCAGCCCACCACCAGAAAATGCTGCTGACCACTGGTTTCATTGATCTCCTCTATAAGAATCAGATCATAAATGTAGTTGCAGGATGGTTTCACATCTGCATTTTCTAAAAAAAGAAAAGATATGATAGCATTTTAAAATTCTATGAGAAGCAGGAGAAATATTTCCACTGAGGGCTTCAGCTAATATGAAACACAGTGGTAAGTCCCATCCTCATAGTTCATATCAAATGCAGAAACCCTCTGTGGAATTCCTTCCTTGTATCTCAGTGTCGTTGGGCCATTATTCTGCATCTCTATAAAATCTACAGGCCTAAACTCTGCATTTGCATCCCGGTGGGGTTCCCAAGAGTAGACAGCTGCGTAGATTCAAGTAGAGTATGGATTGTTTTGTAAATATGCTCTACTTTTGCTGGATTTTTAAAAAGTTTTCTTTTACTTCTCACTCTTAATTGAACCAGTTAAATGCAAACACAGCTGTGGCCCTGTGTACTGAATGTCCAGTTAGTTACCATCACCTCTGTGCGTATGAGAGTTATCAGGGAAAGATCCCTCCAAACCAGATGTACCAACAAACAACACATCACCCTGCAGCATGTTTTTACAGGTAATTCCTGTAAATACCTTCAAAGCACTCAGGCCCCTAACTTCCACTGGGAGCTGTTCCCATTAACACTCCAGCATGGCTAGAAGTGAATCTTTAGCACTCATCTGAATTTTAGAACCGTTTGATTAAAGCCTTCAATCCTCTAACTTCTCTCTCCAATTGGGTCTGCTCCCAGGTATCCCAACTCCCCCCTCCACCTGCCTCCCCGCATTTAATAAAGCAAATAGTCACGAAGATGGGGGCACAACATAGCAAGGCCCCACCTCCTACACCACAATTCTTTATGAAAGGAGTGGTCATGTCATGAGTTTTCATCCAGTTTAGAAGTCTGTAGCAGGGGACAGAACAAAGGGTTCATGTAAACTCCACTGGGAAAAACATTCAGCATCTATATCACTACTTATATGCAATCAGCCTTACTTATACTCAGTGGTTTCTGGTGTTCTTTATACAAATGAGGTAAGAGGTAGCATCAACCCTGTAATCTTGCTTAGCTTTATAACACTAGAAATTGTGTGTTGGGGACACTGGGCAGAGTTTAGGAGGTTCATGATTTATTTTAAGTGGAAATAAAAGCACTTCCTATTTGAAACATTTTCTATCTCCTGGAAAGCAAAGGAGGGGCAAGAGGGGGACTGATTCTTTGAGTTCTCCTTTGTACTTTCCTATTTTTAAGTATTCCCAAAATTTGCAATGACCAGTGGGAAAAAGTTCCCAAATTGGTCAGGGGGAACTCACACATGGCAGGCTCTTCAGCTTCCCCAAAGAAAAGCCATCAAGCAAAAATCAGAGCTTTTTCTTCTTCCCAGCAAGATCACCTTCACTTGGAAATACTTGAGTCTTGGCTGCAACAGGTTATGTTGCTCCTGCATCTGTCATTCCAGTGCACGGGACCAAGGGAAAGGGCGAAAAGCAGTTGAGAAAAGGCGCCCTAGTTATGGCATGATGAGACAAAAGAACAGAGATAATTTAAATATATATATGTAGCTCCTGGACAGTGGAAGTGGAGGCAGTATAGTGTGCCTGCAGGCAGTACATTGGCACAGCAGAACCTGAATGATCTTGCCGAGTGCGGAAAAAGAAAGATGAATGTGGGAAACCACAATGGAAAAAGTACCTTTATTCTATGACTATGAAATAAGTTTATTTAGATGAAAATATTTCTTGGTGTATAACCTTCTCAGAGTCTCCAAGGGTGCTGAGCATCATTGAAAGTTAAGTAATAAATCTATAGTTATTCAAATTTAAAAACCCATGTGAGACCTTAGGTACTTATCAGTATACCTTTCATGAAACTTGTGTGAGACTTGTTGCCTGTGCTCTGTGTTGCTCCCTGCACCTGCTGGATGAAGTTAAGTTGAAGAAGGATAAAGGGCTTCTTAAAGAAAGCAGGCAGGGAAGGAAAAAAAATGATCTGGCTAAGGAGCATCCTCTCAAATATGATGGCCAGGACTTCTCGGCCCCAACCCTATTACAATTTATCAACCGTTTATTAAAAGCCTCTCTTAATTATTTGTCCTCCTGATGCTTCATATTATAAAGGAAAGTTTAACCTAAATTACACACAAGTAGATGGATGATTAGAGGTTCTGATCTACTAAAAGCTCAGTTGTATGGGGGATAGGGGTGCTGTGAGGTGCCAAGGGTGGGTCAGTGAAGAAGCAGACAGGCTGGGAAGGCCCCCTGAGACAGAGATATCTCTCATATGCTAAGAGCAGTGTATGTTGTTTCTCCTCACAAAGAGATGGGGAATACACTAGACTTGCCTGAGCTATGCTGAATTTAGAGAAGGGGTTGTGCATGTAGGACTCTTTTTTTGTTGTATGCCTTGGCATGGGGTGGCTTGTTCCTTTTGGTGTGGGAATAAGTAGTGCTTTTTTTTTTTGAAGAGGGTATTGGGTCACTTAATTAGCTACCTCCAAATGCAAACCCTTGCAGGGTCCAGCCCCATTTGGACCTGATGAGGTAGTCACTGTGAGGACGCACCCAAGGGGCTGCCCTCAGATCTAAGACACCTGGGCTGCCTATACACGTGCTGCTTTGCATTCTAATTAGAATGCTTTAGCATGGCCTTACCATGACATGTATAAGCCCTCATGCATTTAAAAATGACTGTGGGGGCGCGTTATCTAAACCTTGTTGAATGAGGTTTAGATAAAGCATCTTGCAACCATTTTTAAATGTGCAGGGGCTTAATACACATGATGGTGATATGTTTTAATTAGGGTGGCTCTCTAGGAACCACTCTAAATAAAATGCATCTGCACCCCTGTGCATATGTATAAGCAGCCCTGGTGAGGAGAGATAAAGAGATGAGGGCCAGGATCTGTGTGTGTGGAAGAGTACTCCATGGCACCCTGAGAAGGCAGCTGAGCTGGTACCTCTTTATAATGAATAATATAGCACACCTCATTTGGCCTTATGTGACAATGCTTCAGATAGTACATGTCCCAGTATTG